CCTATTTAATCCTATTTGCATCCTAATTTAAGACATTACTTTAAAGCTAGTTAAGCTAAACTCTAAAGTAAGTAATTCCCAATTCGACTATTCATTAGCCACACCCACAAACCTCCTGACAGTGCCCAAAGTGTCACCTACAGGAAATCCACAGGTAAGCTCTCAACCCTAAAATTCATAAGCTAATTAGATCTCCAGAATCAGAAAAACCTCCCTCATGAAGCAGAAGGAGGATCAAAAAGATCCTGAGATCAGAGAACCTTCACACTGAGCCAATCTTGTGAAAGAATCTCCTTTTAGAATTACCAATTAACATTAGCTAATTAAAGGACTTAATACCAATCAAAGTCCTCAGAGCATTCCTTATGCTAATTTTAACAAAAGCCTCACTACAACTAAAAAGCATGCAACCTATTTAAGATTGATTATAAGGCACAATGTAATTATCAAAATATGGCGTATCAAAAGCTTAATACGAATCAAATGATTAGCATATAAAATTCAAACAAAAACATAAGTCATGACATATCAAAAACTTCAGAATTCAGACATAAAGAAAAACATTAGAACCCAGCTGGTATCATGACTGTTCATCTTTGATGTGGCTGTAGACCTGAACTAGACTTGACGTGAACTTGAAACAAACTTGAGGTAGACTTGAAACAGTCAATGCTTCATCTTGTCCCAGACTCAGAGCAGTGTCCAGTTTTGAGTCCATCCACGAGCACTAAAGTTCCTGAGGTGAGCATTAGAGTCCAGTGTCCAAAAGTCCAAAAGTCCATTTAAACACCAGGACGCGGCTGTCATCTCCTGGAATGACAGAAAACATACGGCAGTGTCTTGTGGAAAATAAATGTCACATTAAAATGAAAATTAAAAACAAAATCAATGTCATGTGTCTTGAAATTATAAAATCACTGAAGCTTATCTCTGAGTTTGTGAAATTATAACCCTTGTCCAACCCCCTTGTATCAAACCTCTGCATAATGTAAATATGAAGACACAAAATCTCAAATGTTGGAATCATGACAAAACAAAAAATAAAAACAAAACAAAATCTACAAGGAAGAGTATATATCTTTCTTTCCTTCACTAAAAATCAACACAGACATATGTCAAAACATAGAGTAAATGTCAAAAAATAACAAAATCAGATTATATGTAGAAAAACTTCAAAGAGGGATGTCTTACCCTCAGAATGAGCTGAACTACAAAAATAACAAACAAAATCAATCTATCTAAGCCCAAATCACTTACCTACAAATGAAAATCCAAATAAAAGACATTATGTTCTAACCTCCATGGACTAAAAAAAACATGAGAAAACTTCCTATCAAATAAAAATCACTCATTCTTACAAACAGAGCCCTCAAAT